ATTCTGGCCAAGGGCACATGCCCAGGTTGTGGGCTCCATCCCCAGTAGGGGATGTGCTGGAGGCAGCCAATCAGTGATTCTCTCTCACTGGTGCTTCTATCTCTCCCTCTCCCTCTCCCTCTCCCTCATATGTAATATCTTAATCAATAAAAAATATATTAAAAAAAAGAAAAAAAAAGAAGTGAACCATGACAGACACAGAGATGTGCTACTCAGATACCTCTTCAATGACAGCCTTCACCTGCTAACACTTTGAAGTCCACCTCAGGTGTTGAGGCCACATTCTCCTTGTGCTGGCTCAGGTCAATGACTAAGCAGGACTGTGTTCCAAGGGAACTCTTACCTTACCAATTTATCCCAGTGTGGGGCTCCCACCCCTGCCCCATCCAGTTTCCTGCCTTTTCCTCTCACCTTTCCACATTCTTAACTCTATCCACCGTTAGCTTCCTGAAGGACCTAATATAGAGGCATCATCTTCTCTCTACAGAAATAGCTTCTCCTCATTGCTACACTTTGTTTATGGTCCAATATTTTCCCATTCATTTAGGCTTCAAATCTTGGAATTTAGTACGCATGTAACCACTTGGTAACATTTTTTTGCTTAGCTTCTCCGTCTAATTACCGAAAAAGTCTGAAAAAGGATGTCTGCTCTTTTTAATAATTTTACAGGAAATGACTACTAGAGTTCACTTTTTTGCAAATGCGAAGAAATGGTTTTAAGCAGATTTTGACACGTCTTAATCCCTACCAGGATTCCCATGAGCCACCTGATTGTACTCTCTGGCGCTTATCCAGAAGAACTACAATTCCCGTCGTACATTGCGGCATTCACATGCAACTGCATACGTCATTTCCTCCCACACAGGCGGTGGATGTTGGGTTTTGTAGTTTGTGTCAGCTTCTCTTTGGCGCTGTCTGGGGAGGGAACAGAGTGACCCGATAGACTGCTCTGATACGGTTTTTGAAATAAATCACTAGGAGAACGTATCAAAGGCAATGCAGCGGCAGGTTTTTATGTGTTTCACGTTCCTCTTTCCTCCTCCTGCCGTGGCCGGGAAGGGGAAGTGACGTACTTCCGGTGTAATGGCGGCGCGGTGGAGTTCCAGGTAATTATCTAAGTCGGTAGACTCGCCACCGGCGGCGAACCAGAGTGGGGGTGGTGGGTTGCCGGACCGGGTGGGAAGAGCAGCGGGCCCCGGGGTGGGTGCGGCCGGCCTGGCCCGCGAGGTTGGAGGGTGAGAAGCGGCCGGGCGGAGTCTGAGCGGGTGGGTAAGGGGCGACCGTGAATGCCCGTCCGCTGCGTGGATCGACCCAGCTTCCTAGCGAGGTTGTGGGCACTATGTCTCCGCAGGGCCTTTGTTGCCGAAACCCTGCAGCGGCGCTGGCTCTCGCCTTCCGTGTGGGGTGTGTTTGGGGCGCGAACCACTGGGAGCCTCTCGAGTCGTTTGGGCTCGCGGCCCCGCTCCCGCGGGCTGCGCCGTGGCGTGGGATTCATTGTAGTTCGTGAAGAAACAGTGGCAATGCCGCTCCTGTGCCTCTCTCCGTCGTCATTTCCCCGCGACTGCTGCTCTCAGATGCCCGCAGTCCTTTCTTTTTCCTTCGCGGTGATTGTGCTCCAAGGGGGCTCTCTGTTGCTCCGCTTGGGCTGCCCTCCTCCGTCATCCTCTTTCCTCCCGTAAGTGATCCACCTCCAGGGCCTGGTAGCTCCGGACTGGCCTCCCCAGTCACCGCCTTCCCCGGACCCCGGGACCCTACCGTGCACTTGGATGTAACAGGAAAGCAGTCGCCAATGTCACCGAGTCTGAGCGCAGCACCGCCCAGTGATGGCGAACCTATGACACGCGTGTCAGTGGTGACACGCGAACTCATTTTTTTGGTTGATTTTTCTTTGTTAAATGGCATTTAAATATATAAAATAAATATCAAAAATATAAATCTTTGTTTTACTATGGTTGCAAAGATCAAAAAGTTTCTATATGTGACACGGCACCAGAGTTAAGTTAGGGTTTTTCAAAATGCTGACACGCCGAGCTCAAAAGGTTCGCCATCACTGATCTAGGAGGACCTTTCCATAATGTTGGCTTCTGGAACTCATATCAGATTTCACCACTATTGACACCGATGGAGCACCTGTTGAGGGAAGCTTTGACAAATGCTTAAGGATTTCTTTACATGGGTCGGGATCCCGACTACACATAGCAAATGGACAACCCCGCAGACTTGGGCGTCTGAAGACCGGTCACCCTGCCTCCTCCTTACCTGGCCTTATTTCAGGATTGTCTGTGAACTGGAGAGTTAACCTCAGTTACCACCCTACCTGGGAAAGCACATTTAGGATTGTGTTAAAAGTGTGATTTTGATCAGAAGCAGCTTTGTTCAGGCACCGTCTGGAGGAGAAGGAGACTGACTGTGTTGGTGCTGGGGACAGAGATTTCCGTCCGCCTTGAGCATGTTTAGTTAAGTCTCTCTCTTGGGGCAGGTTCCCTGACATCTTTAGTCTCAGCATCCTTATCTGAAAGTTGTGGTCAATAGTAGTACCTACCTCAGTGGGTTGTTCTGAGGATAAAGGAAAGTAACTCATGTAAGGAAGGCATTGTGCACAGTGCCGTTTTAGCTGCTACTGTAACACAGTTGATGAATTCGCTGTCTAGGGTTCTTGTTCTTTGGTTTTGAATGTTGCCCTTCCTCTCTTACGTGCCCATGACGCTGTTATGGAGCCTTTCCCACTTCCTTTGACTGGAGCTCTGAACCTTCAGAAGCCAAGAACATTGGCCTGTGGTTCTGAAAATGTGGTCTCCTTAATCAGCGGTACTAGCATCTTCTTGGAACTTGTTAGTGATGTAAATTATTGAGCTTAGCCCAGACCTGTTGATTTGGAAAACGCGGAATGGGTGGATCTTTCAGTCTCTTTGTTACCAAACCATCCATGTGATTCTCATGCCAGTTTGAGAGCCGCTGTTCTAGCCCATCTCCTAGGAATCTGTTATGGTCCACCCCGCCCCCAGAATTAGGTTTGCTGCCTTCCCTGTTGCAAAGTATTTCCGCCCCCAGATAGGTTTGCTGCCTTCCCTGTTGCAAAGTATTTCATCTATAGCCAACCTGTACATCCCTGGTACGCCGCCTGTGCCTCCCCACTTTGACTAGTTTAGTCCCCTCATTTCTGAAATTCTGACAC